GTTGGGATTGGCCAGACAGCATCCTCTTTCAATCTCTCCGTCGAAATTTCACGCCGCCGGGCCATTTTAAGTGAGTTTTGCCTGTTTTTCTTGGGATCGCCTGCTAGGTAGGCAGCCCATGGTACGCTGCCCGCCAGATTCAAAAGATCACCCCTTAAAAATCAAGTTTCTCTGGACAGGGGTGGTTTCTGGCGGAACCAAAAGTAGTTTTGTGGTCCCCTGGTTCCCCTCTGTCGATTCGACTCCTTTACCGTTGAAATCTGGACCCATCAATTTTTGCTAAAAATACAAAGGCTATATAGCCTTTGTAAATTTGGCCAAAAATGAAAAAAATAAAAATCGCTGGAAAGGATTGGAATTGGTCTAGGAGGGTCGCCTTTGACCTCCTCCGTCAAAATTGCGTGCTTCCTGCCTCTTTTGCATCCTGTTTCTTCGCCTATAAAATTGCGTCTTTGGTTTGTTGCAGGAAGATCGGTCTAGAGGTGCACCTGTCCTAGACATCAGCACAGCAGCCTATGTGTCACCTGCTGTATGCTGAGTTGGTGTTGCAGCACACTGCAGGAGGAATCGCTCCTTTTCCTCATGATTGCAGGAATGAATCCGGTAAGTTTTGACTTTCAATGTGGTGTTAACATAAAATACCAGTACATTTATGGTAGTCATGTGTGGTAAAAGTTTATTTTGGTATTGTTTCTATTTGGGGGTTACTTGTTATTTCTTTACTGCTTATTCTCATTTCATGTATACGGCTTCTTACTTGAGCCTAAAATATGTAGTTGTGTTTTAATTTTAGTGCGGAACTGGAGGCAAATCATTAGAAATCACTGACAGTAATGCTGCTATTTATTTCATTTGTATGGTACAGTCAAAGTAAAATAAGAAGTGATGCTGGTTCTTGTCCAAAGGGATGTACCTGGACTTGATGCTGGCCACCTGTAACAGAAAGTTTATTCGATGAGTTGGCGTCACAATGATACAGATGGACCAGAACATGTTTAAGTTGAACTCTGAGATAATTTGAATTTAACTTAGATTTTTTCCATTCTTTTTCAGGTATTTAGATTCGCCCAAAGTCACCAGCAGAAACAAGCCAGCTAATTGAGCAAGATGTACTCTTATAATGTAAATGATTTGAAACAATAAAGAATTCAATTACTATCCAACATTTTACATTATTTCATAGACCTGATTCTACGCTGCAGTAACTGTGGATGTAGTAGCAGACTGCCACCACTACAGCAGTGACGTCACGGGCGTCTCGGA